GGCACATGAACTATGTACACAGCACAGTTAACTTCCATTTTAACGTCCCTCTTAATATTTTCTATCTGTTGCTTACAAAAAACATGCTGCATCATTACAGAGGTTTTTTTTCATTACACACTACATATATGAACTACTTTCTAAATTATCTTCCAAAATTCTAAGATAATAAAAGGAAAAATTATGGCATTTTACTTGACCATACCTATTATTTTATCTTTGTTTTCACAATATCTTTATTTTATTTGTTTATTTATTCATTTATTTAATGTGGTGCTGAGGATCAAGCCCAGTGCCTCAAACGTTTGAGACAAGCACTCTACCACTGAGCTACAACCCCAGCTCAATTTTATCGATATTCTGCTCTTACTATATTTATAGTTCACAGTCAAGAATTAATAAAAAAGCATTGAACTAAATGAGCAATAATCTTTTCCACATTCTTAAAAGGTGATCATATATGTTTATCTTACATTCTGGAAAAGAGCATTTGAGAAATATTATTACTGTTCAAGAAGAAAGAACTAGACAGAGAGATGAAGACAGAAACTGACACATTTTCTTACCACTATTTCTTTTTAGATGGTCATGTAGGGCAAATCATATTAATTATTAATATTTTAAAATAAACATACCGAATTAAAATATTTCTCAAAACTTCATTCTTGTTCTTTTAAAAATGTTATTAAAGAAACCCTTAGAGATCAGGAACTGCCATCAATAATACATTAATGGAATTGGAAATGAAATGAATGGTATTCATCTTCCCCTAAGTGGGGGAAGTAAAAGGCAACTACTCTCCTAAAGTGGTATATTTTTTATTCTTTTGATTATAATTGATTTTCTATCTTTCCTAGAGTGACATTTTAGGAAAAACAGATTCAGTACAACTTTGTACGTTCTTATAAAGATTTCGGGATCATGGAAGTTAGTCACAAAGGAAATAAGATCAAAGGAGTAGAAAGAAGAGGGTGAAAGGCAGCTCAAAAAGTAATGCCAGGGCAAAAATAGCAGGAAATAAATGAACATTCCTCAAGATTGTAAGCATGTGCCTAAAAGTGTGCATGCCTGTGTGTGCACACACATGAGCTGAAGTTTAGACAGGCACAGATTGAGGCTTCCCCTGGGTGGTGGAATGTCAAGGATTAGCAGAGGCACAGGGGGAAGACAAGTGAGTGTGTGTGTTCAGATTTCCTGGAATCTATACAGGGATCCCAATTTCCTTTCACATAAGTAGAGCCATTGATGTAAGTAGGAAACAAAGATTCCATTAAGGCTCATTATGTGATGTAGATATACGGGTGTGGAATTTTTCTGCTCAAACTGCTTTAATTATTTATTTTAAATGAAGGGGTAAGAAATAAAATCTGAGGCCACATTTTATATTTTAGCTATGTAGTCCAGAATCTTCAGTAAAAGAGTCCTGTAAAGTGTACTAAAGCCTTCAGGAAAACTGAGATTGTTTTCTGAATAAATGTCTGTCCCCAGACTTGTATCTGAAAACCAGGTAAACATTGATGTTATCTGAGTTTCCTTAAAATACGTATATTTAACAGTTCTACATCTCTTTTTTTCTGAATATTCCACCCACACTTCCTTAGCATGTCTCTGAGCTATACTGTCCTCACCACCCTATCTCCAAAATCTTGAAACCTATGTATATGTATATATCCATTTTATGTAGACAGGTTTAAAAAACTACCTGAACTATGACATCATTATTTTTCATTTTTTTTATTTACTTGATTTCTTGATTTCAAATAAAAACTGGTGAAATGATAACTAAGTTTCCATAAGTATATAACCTCCAAATTTGTTGAATATGGTCTTCAATAAGATCTTAAATCCATAAAAATTTAGTATTTGAATGAAGCATCTATCCAATAATTTGAATGAAGCATCTATCCAATAATGTTACATTTTGTAATTGTTGGTATGACTACAAACTATAATAGTTTTCTTCTTGTCATTTAGGGTTATGAAATTCTTTAGCACATGCGTGTATTATTAAAGAACATTCTAGTAGAAATTCTCTCTCAAAGTAGGTATCCCATTCCAGAGAATTTATTGCTTCCTCAGCAATCACAAAATATGATTTTTTAATTCCAATGGAGACAATCATGACATTCAACATTTCGAGTAGTTTTTCATCACCACTAGCATTACACAAAGAAATCTAGAGTTGCATTGAATTAAGTGTGAGAACTCTCCTGCCAAATCTATGCAGTAATACAGGCAGAAAAATTTCTACTCAAGGCAGGCCTTCTTAGTCAATATTTATTACAATGAACAAAATGGAAATCAAAAACTATGGAGAGTAATCCTGTATTTCTTTCTTTGATGACTTATTGGGTGCTTCTCCATAGAAAATGTGAAACATCAAGTAATATAAAATACAGGTGAATATTTTAAAACTGCATTTTAAAATCAAGAATTAAATATAATAATAAGATAGCTTGACCAAATTAAATATAAGCAATATAACTATATGCAATTATTAACCTCAAGCCCTATAAATATCATTATAAGATAGTTTGTTTGAAATGATATCAAATAATTCTTTCGTTGTAGTTCATATATCATTTATATCAAATATTTAAGATTTAATATACTTTGCATAAATTTGACTAAATTAAGAGTCTAGATTTTCACATTCTTTTCCTACAATGTTTCATAGCCAAGATATGTTTTATTTCATTCAATATATTCATTCAATGAGTCCAAGAATTCTGTAGTCTATATTTTATAAGAATTACCTACAAACACATCAATTACAATTATGTCACCAGGAACTTCTTATCCTTACCTTTCTGACTCAGAGTATCTAAATAATTAAAAGCACAAAATTCAGACTTCTGGGAATATACACCATACAATTTTACTAATACTGCATAAATTCCTCCTTGTTATATAAATTTCCTAATTCAGCTTTATCAACATAATAATTTCAAAATAATTATTTACTTGTCTATAGAAACATCCATTTCCATTTTGACATCCAATCAGCTACAAGAAATAAACATTCTTCGATGTGATTTAAACATCTAATGTCTAAAAATCACTCTTATTTTCATTCACTTACAAATCAAATGGTTGTCAACTACAACTTCTATAAATTCTAGCACTGTCTTAACCCACATCTCATGACCATGACCAGCAAAATGGTTGAAAATCATGCATACAACTTTGGGTTTTTTCCCCTTGATATCTTTCATTAAAAGAAAAGCTGCAAAAGTGGATTCTCTCTCCTCTGTCATAACCAGTCAATCTGCTGATAGAATTTTAACCATTAAAGAAAGAGATTTCCAAATTTTATTAAAATGGCAATAAAGCAAACAAAAAACTCTAGTTTCCGATGTTAATTGGTTTTATTAGCCAGCTTGTAACATCACATTTTCTGTGTGTACTGTAGCTTCTTATTCTAGGGGACACTAATTAGTTTTAAATGGTGTTAAATACCATCCCTGCAGTTGCAAGTGCTTCTCTGGGATTTTTACTAGAGAAAAGAACTCCTGTAATTTAAAACTACTTTGTTTTCTTCAGTCACAGCTGTTAGTGAAACACTGACCTGTAGAAATCTTGAAAGGTTTTCACCTTTCTGTCACTGTCATTAGCTAGCATTTATTTCCTTAACAGGTCTTTTCCCCTTGTGCCATTGCTCTACAGTAATTCCCATCCCCCAAATTGCAGCCAGCAGAGAAACAGCGTTAAACTAGTTAGGCTCTTCTCTGCCCCCTCCCCCTTCCCTCCCTTACAAAGCCTTGGCTACCCTTAAAGAAAATTCTCCAACAACGTGTCAATTTTACATTGGTCACAAAGACAACTTCTGTTGGGGGAGGGGGAGGAAAGAGGGACTGGAGCTTGGCTGTCCCTTTCCACAGACTGGGATCTTTGTGGTGATCAGAAAACATTTCCTGCATAAGAAATCAACACACTCTCTGGTTGCAGGGACTGGGAGTAAGAAGGAATATGTATCAGCTCTGCCCTCAAAGGAATGGAACATAGCCATTAACCTTCCAAACAAGAAAGTCATTTTCTCAAAATATGTCATGCTTTCTTGCATTATTAAACATAATCCACAATCTCAAATCTTCTGATAGCTCTTCCACTGAGGATTGGGTGAAAGCCACAAATCACTCTTATACTTTATTTTTTCTCCGCATTTCCGTTGCACTGTTTTTCCCCCCTCCCTCTAGCTCACCTCTGAGATGTTCCCTCTCTCTGTGTATATCAACAGGAAACTGAGAAGATAGCAAAACACCACTTGCAAAATGCAGATCCCAGTTCTTTAAAGAACAGAATGTGTATTAACCTGCAGATTTCATAACCTCAAGACCTGACTCAGACAGTTTGCTCCCCCAGTGTTTCTCTTGGCCCACCAAAGAGCAAGAGTGCCAGGTTTATTGTACAAACCACCTTAAACAGAAGTCTGGTCCCCGGGTACCCCTATTTTCAGATGTTACATAGTCTCTTGGTCCAAATAGGTTTGCCTTGGAGAGTTACCTTTTGGTCATGTCAACCCAGCTCAAAGGGGTAAAAGGATAAGTCACACAGGGAAAAGCAAGTGAAAGGAACCATTTACTGGATTGGAGCAAAAGGGAGACGTCTGAAAATCCATTTCACAGGTGGGGTATGTGTGTGTAGATCTCTCAAGGGGATGCAGCTTGAAAAAAGGCACCCCTCTCTCTCCTTCTCTCTACCAACCACTAGTACAAGCTGACTTCACATTTTTGCATCTCTTTGCTCCTGAATATTCCATCTGCACTTCAGAGGCATGTCACTGAGCTATACTGTCACCATTCTATCTTCAAAATCTTGAGACCTAAAACAAGCTTAAGAGACCTTCATCAGTGAAGATCCACAAATCAACTAAATCCAAAGATGGCAGAGCAAAGGACAAATGATTAGGTTTGAGTACTGAAACAGCACATGTCACTTCCATGCCATAAGCCTCCCCCACCCTTGCTGGCATCCATCTTCCCCAATCTTGGGGTACTTACCTTCTTTGGGTGGTCGTTTGGCCTCCCTGGTAAGATTGCAGACTTGAGTGGTTTGCAGCTCCTGGGTCAGGCAGCCCTCTGTCTGCTCATTCAGGGGCAACACGACGTTATTTAACAAAACCAGGGACTGGTCATCGATCCCCCACTCTCCCAAATGCTGAGGGCAGGTGCATTTTGTATACATGATCCCACATGATTCTGTTCTCCCATTTTCTGATTTTAAGCAGCTCTCCAACCAAGTGCATAATACATGGCAACCAAACTGGCTTGGGCTCACTTTGTTCAATACCAAAAACTCAAAAAAAGATTTCTGATCTTCTTCCCCTTTTTTCTGTAATCCTGGGAAATCAGATGGAAATACCCGACGTATTTGAATAAAATTTTTATCATATTGTAGAAAAACAAAAGCATTCTTGGAATTGCAGAGTTGCATTATAGAATGATTCTTTCTTAAAAGATCCTTTATTTTTTCATGGGAAAAATGATCAAACTGGTAAGCCAGGAGGGAAAAGTTAGAGCAGCTAAGGTCCTTTTTGGAAAATTTCAGGTAAATGCTATATTTGGTTGGATCTGGATTTTCCAGCGTCCAAGTGCAGTTTGTAAAGTTTTTGGGAAACATTTCACTTACAGAGTACGATCCATAAATGACTCCCTTCACCAAAGTTGAACACCAGAAGTCTTGGGCAGCATTAAATCCAAACATAACCAGGAGATAGGTGGAAAATATATAAATCAGCAGGTTACGAACAGCCTTCATCCTATGTCATTTGGCCTGTAAAATGGCAATGAAAGTAAAATGCAAGTCGGAGTCTACACGCATTGAAAAAATAAACTCCTTCCAATATTACAGCCAGCTGTTTTCAAGATTTCAGTGAAAAAAAAAATCCTTTTTATAAAAAAGGGCAGGTAATTTTTATTTTATAACGCTGGGAAATTATCTGTTGCTGTGTGAACAGCGCCCTCACGTGGCCCATCACAATGGTCAAATTCTCAACATTCAATTTAAAAATAACATTTAATAGATTATTAATAGGAATGCCCTAATTTATCCACCAGGGTTTCCTCCACAACCATTATCATTCTATCAAATGAAGAAGGAAAACATGAGGTTTAAAATATCATAACTTAAATGTTAATCATTGAAACATTTTTAATCAATCTGTACAAACGTTTCTCTCCCTCAGTCTTCTGTCTGCAGTAAATATCACACAAAATCTAATCTGATAATCTGAGAGCAGCTGTCACCACATTATTTCTTTTCTCTTAAATGTGAAAAGTAATTACAATAAATGATAGCCACAATTTTAAAAGCACAAATGATAATTTGTTCCAGATGGAACATCATCTCCCAAATGCCCCTACTTGCCTTTTCAGAGGCTACTGATAAGAAATTCCTGTGCAAAAACAAGAGCTTTCATGTGGATTAGTAGAATATTAAAGCCACCATCTGAGAAAAGGCATAGATGGGCAGATACACAGGGAAGACTTGTTGTTCAGCATCACCATTGAACCAGGATTTGAGGCAGTCATTTCAATGTGACATGCCCTCTTGGGATACATAAAGTGGATCACTGTATTAGTATCTGTATCCAAAGGCGATGTCAGTGAAAAATCCCAGAACTGCAGTAATTGAGCTGGCTTCTTTTAATTTTTTTTTAATTAGGGTTATTGTGTCTAGACTTATCTACTGTAACTTAAGATTTACAGATGGTAGATAAAAGATATTAGCATTTTCTTTCCTAGTAGATTTCAGTTTTCGAATAGCTCTCTTTCAAACAACAGTTCCAAAGCTCCTCTTCTCTTCTTTTTAATTTTTAACCCTGGACTTGCATAATAAAGTAGTCCTTGATTATATTTACCTCTGTAAGTTGTTATCCAAAAATAACTTGAATATTTTTCAGCTTTAACCTTTAAGAAGTTATTTCTTAGAATAAATGACACTGCTTTTTGGTTCAGCCTTTGAGCTGATAAAAGTGATGCCAAGTTAATTATAAAAGTCTTTAAGCTGCAGTCTCTTCCACTGTTCTGTAAACAGAGACAGACATACAGACATAGATAGTTAAGAGTTTTCATGCTTTTTTTGCTTGAGTCCTCTTTGAACCAAAGGATAAAACCCTCTTCCTTCCCATTGCATAACACACACCAACGCATGCACTCCAAATCCAGTGACCAAAGTCCCTGAAGATAGATCTGCATTTTACAGATTATAATTTGAATTCTATGTTTTGGTATGGGCAAAAACAGCCCCAACTCTAAATCTCTATATAGCAGCAGTTCAAAATAACGCTAGAACTGCTGGGACTATCAAAACTGTGTTCTCTGTTTCAAGAATATAGCTGAATGAGTAATGCCTTTCTTCTTAATAAAGATAAAGATTAACAAATGAGGAAAGTTGTAGGAAATTCTGTAAATAATTTAGCTCTTTTTCCTTTTCTTTCTTTCTTTTCTTTTTTTTCTTTCCTTTTTTCTTTCTTTTTTTTTTTTTACTGTAGCACTTTGCAGGCAATGCAGGTCTGCGCAGTGTTCTTCAGGATAGTGTGTAGGCGTTGAGAGCCAATGTGACAATAAGTGTCTAAATTAGGAATTCCATCCATGAAAGGGGGCTTCATTTTATAATAAGGAACTCAAAAGGAGGTCGTATATCTTTTCCTTATGAAATTGGCACTTTTGCTTCCATTTATTTGACAGAGCATGTCTGCAATGCTGTGCTCATCAAAGATTAGAAAGAGTGAGGAGATAGCTTGGATTTTACTTTCATGCCTGCTCAATTAAGCATCTCAAATATAATGCTTCTTATTTTTAACCAGCCTTGCTATACAATCTTGTTTTGTTCTAAATAATAAAAAATGAATTACTGAATCCCCCCCCCACCACCACACACACACACCTTCAGACTGCAGGGCCTATTCAAAAACTGTATTTCCCTATTGAAGGTAAGGGGGTGTCTAAGGGTTGTCCACCAAGGTTTCAAGGATGTTGTATTTATTTATTTATTTATTTATTTGTCTCTTACTGAGAAGCAAACCGGCATTGAGTTTAGCTATTCTCAAAACTGATTTTCTGGGTGACACTTTAGTTTAGTTGAACATAGACGGCGCCATCACTCCACTGATTTTTTTTTTTTTCCCAACAGAAGACCCAATGCCTACTCTTTAACTTCCTTTTAACCTAAAATTTTCCCCCATAAAATTACCTCGATCACGCACAACTACCAGATTTTCCGGGTCTCTCTAACTATTCCTTCGGATCCAGCACATTTCTTGAAAGCCAGACTTCTCTAACTTTTCAACTGCGGCGTTTAAGTAAATGCAGACAGTCAGATTTGCTCGCAGTCTCCCCATCCACCAGCAACAGCCTTTCCTTTCCTTGCTCTCCCTGCCCACACACCAAGCCTAGAGCCCCTCGGTGGCGGCCCCCGGCACAGAGAAGGTGACCCCTGGACCCCTTTCCTTACCTTCCACTCCGAAAGCTCAGAGAGGCTCTTGCTCTAAGACACCAGCACAGGCACGCGTCCCAGCAACAGTGACGGAGAGACTCCCCTTCGGTCCCAATCACCGTTGCCCATTTTCCCCGGCTCAGCTTCAAAAATCAGAATTTATTATTTGAAAATGCACACATACGAGAAGCAAAAAGAAAAAAAAAAAAAAAGGAAAAAGACCAGAGAGGAGGAGTGATGAAAGCGGGGAAAAAAGCCCCGGGGGCCAAAGCCTGTCGCCTTATCCAACTGAATCCAATCTCCAAACGGAGGGGGGGGGCGAGAAGCCCCCCTGGAGGGAGACTCTAAACAAACAAACAACAACAACAACAAAAAAAAAACCGATGGAAGTGGATTAAGAACGAAGATTTGTTTTACCAAATCTATCCCCCAGCAAACCGATTAGTCAAGAAGCAAAGAAAGCGCTGAGACGAGAAGTGACCGGCGGTGGCGGCGGCAGCAGCTAAGGCAGATTTGTTGGGGCGGTGGGTTTATTACAGGAGTATTCGTGGTCGGATCGGAAGGCTCAAGCTTATGCTTTTTCCTCTTTAAGCTTTCCTCCCTCTACCTCCTCCCCCCCCTGCAGGTACTGATGGATGGACGGCGACTAAGGAGAGGGGGGGAAATATCCTTGGCTGGTGATGTCGGAAAGCTGTTTGAATGCCCAGCGAGGAGGGAGGCGAGAGAGGGAGAGAGATAGTAAAGCTCTGTCTCGGTGTGCGCGCCGGCGCGCCGCGCTCGATCTCCCCGGGGCACGCGCGTGAGAGGTGCGCGTCCCCGAGCTCGCGCCCGCACGACGGCCTCGCGCGTGCTCGTGGGCGCGCGCACCCGCCGCCAGCACTCGGCGCGGTGCGCCGGGCAGCCAGCCCGCGGCTTTTGCGCGCCGCGCGGTCGGGGCGCCTTGGAGTTCTGACTCCCGAGGGCGGGTGTGTGCGTGAGCGGGCGACGGGAGCGGCTGGGTGGGAGAAGAGGGAGGACCCCGAGGGAGGGCGGGAGAGAGGCGGGCAGGAGGGGTGCGCCGCGGAGGTCCAGCCAGGGCCGCGGTGCGCCTACACGTCACTGCTACTCAAACCCAGGCACGTCCCGAAAGCGGTATTTTCTGCGTCTGGGAGGTTTTTGCGTCCTCAGTTCCCACCGCTGGGGCTGGCGGCGACCGACTGTAAGAGAAACTCACCAGGAGGCAACGCAGGGGGGGTGCGGAGAATGGGAAGGCGACTCTGAAGGGTGGGAAGTAAATGCTGGACTTGATCATCTTTCTCTTTCTGTTTTTCAGCACGGACTTTGCGCAGCGGGAGAGCTGTCATTTCAGCACCAGGATTCAGAATTGATCCAGTCCGCTGCAGAGGGGGGCATATCTCAGCTCGGGTCTCGCCTGGAACAATAGTAGTTTTTCTCAGCAAGGCTGCAATTAACATCTTATTTGTTCAGGCTCGGTACAGGCTTTGTCGGGACTGCGGTGAGGCAACCGAGGTTGGGAATCTTGCATTGCTTTCTGCATGGCAATGGGATCGTGGTTGTGGGGTCAAAACTTTTGTTTTGTTTTGTGGTCTTAGTGTATCTTTTTCTTTTTCAAGTTTCCCTACTAACAAGTTTGGGGGGAATGGGTGGGAAGAAACCCGGGAAAAGCAAGAGAAGGGCCTGATTCTCCATGTAAGAAGGAAGGAAGAGATTAATTTCCACACCCTCCCCTTTTATTTATTTATTTACTTATTTAGGCTCCTAAACAGTAGGCTAATGAATTATTTGATGAACTAGCTTCAAAAATAGGATGCAAAAATGTCATTTGACTCCTTACTATGTCTCTACTTGTAGACTCAGTTGGTGGTTTGCAAAACAAGTGCTAAAATAGTGCAGTGATGTGGTGGGAGGAGACCATAAAGGGTAATTCATTTCAAGTGTGGAGCCTTCCTAAGGGTAAGTTGCATGAGCGACAGGTGAAGTTGAATAAAGCAATTTCCCATCATTTTGTCTCCTCACTCTTCTGTATTTTTATTCCTCTTTTTGTTCCTCTCCCCTGGGTCGATTGTGTAGCCAAGAACAAGATATTTTTTAAAAGGTTAGAGTGAAAACAGGTGATCTTTTATTCACCAGAGTTGTTTGAAATATTAAAATTGGCTCTTTACTTCTTAATACATATTAATAGAATGACCCTCTTCAATGCTTTCTCTTCTAGGATGAATGTTTAAAGTAAAACCCTGTAAGGGAAACCGTAATCATTCCCCAGCTGGCTTTAAGGGTGTTTGCAGGAACAAATCACCAGTGAGAGAAACTTGAGTGGCATTTTGTTTTGTGTCATTTTTGGTTCATTACCACAATTTTTTATCCATTGAAACAAATGTACAAAGAAAATATGGTTTATATATTCAGGGCAAAATCCAAAACACTGTAAAACATACACATTTTCTTAAAAAAAAAAAAAGAACATTCAGCAATATAAAGAAGAAACATTTTATTTATTTCAACTTCCAGAGATTGGAACCATGGTATCTCCAAAACATTTTGATCAGTTCTGTTATTTTTATCTAGAGAAAAATAGAGATTAATGATAGATGTGTAATAAAAATGGAGAAAAAAAAGCTTTGCACAGTTTGTACTTTTAAAAAAAATGAAAAAAAAATAAGGTTTAAACATGCTTCTATTTTGCACTTAGTGGTTTCTCATATTATCCTTTAGCATAGTGATTTTGATGTTTCTTAGAAATTCTTAAATGTCATGACTCAGTGATGTAAGAATAACATCCAAAGGGGACAATTTTAAAAGGCTTAATTCTAAATGGAAAGGAGCACTCATTCCCAGGATCATTTATATTCAAGTAGAATGCAGGGCTGGGTCAGAAAAGAAAGCTACCCTTAATAAAGCGCTTCACCCTTCACACTGTTTCCTGTAACCTTCATAAATTGCAGGCTACTGAGCTGGCCTGATGATGAGCCTGCTGAGGTATATTTATAGCAGATGATTTGTAGATGATAAATATGCCAAGCAAGACATCGTCTCCAGTAACCCCAGGCTCCACTGACTTCCTCAGGGGGTCATAATCACGACTCACCAAAAGAGCCCTGGATGTGGAGAATCTGGTCTCTGAACCCTGACAATAGCACAGTCCAAAGGCAAACCAAGGAGGAATCACTTTGTTTCATGTCTGCACAATGTTCCACATGAAAGCGTTGCTGACATATTGACTCAACAACCAAAAGAGAATAGCAGTTTGCATACCCTAGGCTCTATGTTCTTCCTATTGACATAGGTCCATTTTTATGTCTTAAAGTATTTTGAAATTGCCATTTCAAATTATAATTATTAGCTTCTTAACCTCTTAAGTCCCTGTGCATGTCCATGACATCTGTATGTGTACAAACACAAATTTCACATGCATACATGATGCACATATTTTCTACTATTGGAATACATACATATATAATATGCATGTATGTTTTCAGTTGTAACACATTTTTTGAGGATATTTCACTATATTACTTTATATATCTCTGCTAAACAAAGGAATTTCTCCTCAAAATTGCCAAATTAATGATATAAACTAATTTTGTTTCCTTGTTGAGTTTCAAAAGAACCATTGAGAAATCAGATTAACACATCAAAATATGGACTGACATTGCATTTTAAATTAGCCCAAGTATTTAAGGTTAGAGTCCTTCAAATTTATCTCTCCTATTATATATCCATTTGATTAAGATTTCTTTAGAAAAATGACATTTCTCAGTGTATTTTTATATATTTTCCTGTTACTTTTTTGTTTATTCTTCTATATTTGAGAATAACCTTGTTCTCCAAGATTATTGCTTAAAATTCGGTGTCATCTGCAAAATTCTTCTACTCAAAAATATGTTTCTCAATCTTGTTTACTTGTTTTAGAAAGTTTTTTCTTCCCTTGCTCCTCCCATATTTTTAGTGTTACTACATTGACACATTGAAATTTTTTAAATTGTTAGTTTCAATAAGGCTTTAGAAAGTAGAAATGGGTTTGTAGATTATTCCTTGTTCAAACTCTTCTGATATATCTGTATTGTTTCCAATATGCACAGAAATGGCTTCTGGTAATTAATTCCATAATTAAAAAGAATTACTAAAACATCTTCAGAGATATGTACCTTAATTATCTTATTTACTATAATAATGCTTTAATATAGTCCTTGCTAATAAAATGATCAAAATATTACAAGATTACATTGTTACAAGTATTAACTTGTATTAGTACATTATTGAAAAAACTTCCCATTTTTCTTTCTTTCTTTTCTTCTTCTTATTTCAGAAACCAAACTAGATCCATTCAGTCTCTCTGTTAAAAAAAAAAATCATTTTCTACTTGGATATCCCAGAATACTAAGACATGACAAAGTATTAAAAAATAAAGGAATCGAGTTAGGGTAAAAAGACATGGAACAGACAATATTTATCATAAGTTAGCTCAAGTGGAAAGCCGTCCCATGTCAGGCACAACCAGAGTTTAATATTGTCCAAAACCCTTGATTGCATCAATTTTCATTTTTCATCATATAATGACACAAGTAAAAAAAAAAATAAATTGGTAAAATATTTTGGCCATCAATTCACAAGGCTTCACTTATGGCACTCAGAAACTGCCATGATTAGGAAGCACAAGAGTGTATTTTAAAAACATTTTGGAAAATATGGACTTTGAAAGCTTGAAATATGTTTCTAGGTAAATATGAACCCATCAAGAGTTCTTGTCAGTGGGTGGGTTTGTGGCTCAGTGGTAGAGTGCTTTCCTTGCATGGGTGAGGCCCTAGGTGGATCCTCAGCACCACATAAAGATAAACATATGAAGATACTTTGTCCATCTACAACTAAAAAAAAAATTAAAAATCTTATCAGTTACTTTGCTTGTCTTTTTGTCATGTAAAGGTACTGTGTTTATAACACTATTTTTAATATCTGTAAGTTCAATGCACCAGAAATAAAGATTTTTCATTTTTACCCATGAGCTTGACAATTATGTGAACAAGAAGATATGGACTCTAGGTAAGGTTCTTTCTAATCTCTGTTAAACAAATAAAGGTATATATCTCACAAGAAATGTAAGAAATGAGAGAAAATGCAATAGATTCCTTGGGTAGATATGATTATATTTTTCCACTCAAACCCTGGAAATTTCTTTCTTTTGATGATAAACCCAAAAACTTTCATAGTTTTCCCTCCTTACTTTCATAAGCTGATATACAGACTGTTCTTTCCATTCTTCTTCTTCTGTTCTGATCATTGTTTTTCCTTAGACTAATGCCCTGCACTATCACTAATGGCAGAAACTAAACCAGCAGTTTGGTGATGGTTGACCTTAATTCACATGAGAGATGGAGGTTTATTGATCACCCATTATTTCTGAACTTTCATATGTCTCCATTCCTGTTCTTTGAAATTCTCACCCACTCATTCTTTCTATTCCTTTTTCTTCCAGATTCTTTTATTACTGCCTTCTGAAACTCCTTGCTCTCTTATACCAATACACCTCTTTATAGAATGTTCTATCTACCCCTCCTTTGATTGACACTTGTTCAAGTGTGAAGAAATGACATCTCTTCCAGCCCTGTCAAGTGAAGCCATTTATATGCATACTTTCCCCAAACCCTGATTAAGTAGAGTCAGTGGCCAAATCAATATCCTTGTTCTCTCCTATTTTCAGGTCTGGATCCCTTTTGATTGGAGGTTCTGTTATCTGCCTTTTCCCTTTATGTCTCTTTCTGCTTGTCATCATCTACTAACTTCCATGTCACTGGCTTTCATTTATGGAATCTGTTGCCTACCAACTCACAGTTTTCTTCTTTACTCTTAGTCTTATTTCCCATAATTTCAACATCCACATATATAGCTTACCTAACACTAACTTCTCAGTTCCATTTCTGTGTTTTTATCTATATTCAACCACATTTTCCTATGGTCTTTGATTAAAAAAGTCATAACCAATGACTGTCCAACCTCCGATATTCAAAATTTAATGTTTAAATGATCTAATTACAGTCTTCTGACTTTACTAATCACATGAAACCAAGTTTTCCAAAAAGTTCAGACCTTTATCCATTGATCTCACCAATTTCTCCTCTTTACTTCCTTTCTTATACTCTTGTGTTATGCAGCCTCTAGCAAAACCCTAGGTAACTCCTACTTTTTGATACTCATACCCTTTTGAAATCATCTTCCCCCAATATGGGCTAAATTTCTTCTATTGAATTTAATGTGACAGTAGCAATGAATAGTCACTTTCAAGTTTGAGGTATAAGGCTGGGGATATAGCTCAGTGGTAGAATACTTGGCTAGCATGTTCAAGGCCACAGGTTCAATCCCAAGCACTGTGTTAATCAACTTTTTATCACTGTGGCCAAAATACCTGACAATAACAACTTAGAGGAGGAAAAATTTATTTGGGGCTCATAGTTTCAGAGGTTCAGTTCATGGTCAGCCAATTCCATTGCTCTAGGCTTTAATTAAAGCTGACTATCATGGCAAAAGAACATGCTGAAGGAAAGCTGCTCAGCTCACAACAGCCAGGAAGCAGAGAGAGACAGAAGCAGCAAGGAGCCAAAAACAAGATATAATCTCCAAGTTCACGCCCCTAGTGAATTACTTTCTCCAGCCATGCCCCACATGACTAGAATTAACTCCCGATAGTACATTCAAATTATAAATCCATCAAGTGGATTAATCCACTGATGAGGTTACAGCTCTCATAACCTAATCATTTAACCTCTGAACATTCCTGCATTATCTAATACATAAGCTTTTGGGGAGATACCTCATATTTAAACCATATTAAGCACTCAAAAAAATTAAGTTTAAGGTATAAAATGACTATTTGTTCCATCTTGGGATCTCCTTCACTCCCCCTTTGATCACTAGCTCTCAGATAAACCATGAGCAATGTTGTGAGCTGTCCTGTAGAGAGGCATGTCTGAGTTTGATTAGAACAACTTTTCAGGCCTGTCAACAAATATGAGAGTGAGCTCAGAAGTGGTCTTTGGTCAAGTCATAAGATTACTGTAGCTTAACAAACATCTTTTGCAACTTCTTAAGAGACTTTGAGCCAGAACTACCCAACTAAGGTGATTCTGGATCCTTGACCGACAGAAACTATAAGAAACCAAATCAATGACTTTTCCAACTGCTATATTTGGGAACAATTGATTATGTAGCAATAGACAACAAATACATACTGGATAGATTCCATGCCCATCACTATAATAACTTACTTACAACAAACTTCACTATCTGCTATACTTTGTAGCTGGTTAACCATGCATACTGTATTGTCCAATTCCCCTTTCTGATCTAGAATGCTTATAGCAGAGCACTGTTGAAGAAACTCACACCCTTGGGCAGTCTGACATCCCTGTACATTTATAATAACCAGGATTCCATGGTTTCACCATTCCAGCTATCACCTGTAAGCTCACTCTTCCAAAATATTGTAAATGTTTTGTAACTTTTACTTAATCATTATAACTTGAAATTTTCCTTCAACTCTTTAATTATAACTGGTAACCTTAATTCTTCCCTGATAATGCAGACAGGATCACATGGAAACTCCCTCATCTTACATAGTAGATTTATTAATCATCCTATGCCTTCATCCACTTTTTTCCTTTCTTCCTATATTCAGAGAGGTATTGCCCACATATCAGAAGTTTTCCCCTCCACAAACAAGTTGGATCTTAGTCCTATTGACTCTCATACCAGTAATTTCTCCTTCTTTCCTGGATCATTTCCATTAATATAACTAGTAGCCCTCTGACCACTATTTCTCAGTTTTCTTTCGTAACTAATTTCTTCTTTTAAAAATCTGTCTATCACATGTATGTCACTTCTTCACATCTCTCTCATTTGTCACTCCATTCTGGCTTTCACAGTCCACTAAAAAATAAATAAATAAAAGTCAATGTCACAAAAGACATTTTTGTTGCCAAGTTGAATGAATAAATAGTTTTTTCATCTTACTCCAAATTTCAGCAACATTTTTGATATAGTGTGTCCTTCATTCTGAAAATCCACTTCTACTTTGAGTTCTATTTTACCATACTATCCCAGGCCCACTGTAATCTCATTGACCACTTCTCAGTCTCCTTTGCTCATTTTTTTTTCCACATGACCTTGAAATGACTGATCTCTCCTCTTAGTTTTCAGTGTTAAATAATAAACCACTTGTATTCTCTACTAAAGATATCTCACAGTCATCTTAGATTTAGGGTAATTAAAGCAAAACTCATGATTATTAAAAAAAATGTGCTCTTCTCTTAGTTTTTCAGGAAATGACTTCTGCATCTTATGGGAATGTGCTTGCTGTCTCATTTTTTATCATTCCACATCTAGTCCCTTGATCAGTGTTGGATTGTTTTTGTAGGACTGCCATAAGACTGCCCACAGAGTGGGTGGCTTAAACAGCAGACATTTATTTTCCCACAGTTCTGAGGCTGGTATTCAAATGGTACCTATAGGATCAGTCATCTCTCTTTGGCTTGCAGAAGGCTGCTGTCCTGCTGCCTCTTCAAATGTGGGGTTGGGGAAGGCACGACTCTCCAACACAAAGATCTAAAATCACATTCTTTCCCTTTTCACTGCCATCTTTCTTTCCAAAGTATGTGGAATTTGCCTAGACAATTCTAATTGGTGTTTAATAATCTCTGTTCATTTCCTTCCAATCAATTATTCTCAAAAAGCAAAATGTATCATTTTGAAAGCAAATGGAATGTGTGTATATATATATATAT